TCCCCCTTTTGGGAATGGCCTAAAGACAACTTCAGTCAGTATCACTGCCTTTGTGATGATACGTATGTCTGATCAGCAGCAGACTAAAAGCATTATTGTGGCATATATGCGATGTTTGTTTTCTTGTTTGTTTGTTGTTGTTGTTGTTGTTGTTGCTGCTGCTACTGTTGCTGTTGTTGTTGTTGTTGTTGTTTGTTGTGGGGGTTTTTTGGGGGGGGGTTGTTTTTTAGTGGGTGGGGTTGGTTTTGTATTTGGTTTTGTTTTGCTTTTTTAGCCAAGTCAGTATTTCATCAAGAAGAATTGTCAACTCATAGAGAACGTGTGGGCGGTTGGCCGGTGCTCTGGCATGGTTGTTCCTTCTTTCCTATCAAACATCTAGCGTCCTTATCACCCCTCCTCCTTGTTGCGTTTGTTACTCTCTTTTTGTAACACCTCTAATCTTTGGCACTAATATGACCGTTCTGGGTTGCGAGTGCCGTAGAATGCTTTTGGGGTTACTTTTTTTTTAGTTTTAGTAAGCGTTTTACGGCATTTGCAACATAATAAGTAATTCTAACATGTAAGTTAGAAGTGTTACAAGAGATTGACAAACACCAAAAAAAAAGATATGGAGAAAAGATAAAGACGAGAGACGTTTGATAGGAAAGAAGGTGCAAACCCCATCGGAGCACGCGCCAATCACCCGATTTGTTTGTTTGTTTGTTTGTTTGTTTGAGTAAAGAGAAGCGAATTTGAATATTTTAACTTTTTTAGCATTTTAAAGTAAATAAGTTACCAGTCGTGAAGTGAACTTTCGCAGAGGTGAACAACTTGTGTTTCGCGCGCTCATATGACCTTAGCAGTTGCGAGCGCCGTAAAACCTTATACTACTATACTAAAGAGAAGCGCACCAACGCAATAATGGTCATTTAGTGCTGGGAAAAGTAAGAAAGGCAGACAGAAACAACAGAAGAAAAGTAAAGAAGTAGGACCTACCAGTGGCGATTTCCAACAACCCGCGGCATATTTCGAAACATCAAATACAAATTCATAAACCCAAAAGTGTACATATTAATGTCATAGCATATATGTTTTCTGTGTGCCTCCGAAAGCTTTCAATATGAAAAACGTAATTGGAAACACCTGTTTGAATAAAGAAGTAGTTATGCTTCCTTTTTAACCCTTTTATTCGTCAATGATTTCTATCTACGTATGACTAGACAAGATAAAAATGTTTATTCAAGAGATATTTAATTTAACAAAAAGCTGTATCCCCTTTTTCTATCTAAGAACAAACACCTGTAAAAGCTGTAACTAGACCAAAAAAACTGTTTTATTGTTCTAGTAAGAGTTATACGGCACTTGCAACACAGTACGGTCATATAAGTACCCAAGATTAGATGTGTTACAAGAGAATAACAAACACAAAATAGAAGAAGGACAGAAAAGGATTTTACTGAAATTTGTAAACCTGTTTAAACTAAACGTCTACACAGGGGTTCTCGTGGTCTAGAGGTTTGGGTGTTCGCTCTCATTCAATAGGTCCCGGGTTCGAAACCTGACAGCAACGGAAAATTTTCTTCTCTAAAAGTACCCCCTTTCACCTCTATTCCTGCCCTCTACCCTTGTTCTGTCGTCTGCTTTCGTCCCCACTATCTGCCCCCTCCCTCCCTGCCCCCTCCACTGGGCACCTGACTCTTTCTGCAGCATTTCTACTTTTACCCCTTGGCTCCTTCCTACTACTGTCTTTCAGCCTCCCAATTGATCTTATAGTAGGTAAGATCTAACACTTATCCTTCTTGGATAAGGGAAAAAATCTCGGATGTCCCGTGTGCAAGTTGCACACGTTAAAGATCCCTTGCTGGTCTAAAAATCGGTAAGAGTAGGCTTCGGCTGCCATCCGGGCAAAATTTAAAATTTCCTACCAACTAAAAATGTTTTAACGTGTCCTGCGCGCTCATATGACATTATGCAGTTGTGAGCGCTGTGAAACAATTTTTAAAAAACAAAAAAAACCGTCTACACAGCAGGGAAGAGGTTGATAAAGAGCACTTGTAGGCGGTTGGCGGGTGTTCTGGCATGGTTGTTCCTTCTTTCCAATCAAACGTCTAGCGTCTTTATGTCCCCTCCTCCTTTTTGTGTTTCTTACTCTCTTATTGTAATACCTCTAATCTTTTCATTAATATGACCGTTCTGGGTTGCGAGTGCGTAAAATTTTTACTAAAACTAAAACAGCACTTATGTGACCGTATTGTGTTCGGTAAAACGTTTATTAAAACTAAAACAGTACTTATACGACCTTATTGTGTAGCAAGTGCCGTAAAACTTTTACTAAAACTAAAACAGCACTTATGTGACCGTATTGTGTTGCAAGTGCTGTAAAACTCTTTCTAACCATTTTTTTAGAGAGCCCACAAAACAGCGCAAATTCCAACGTTGTAGAGTGACCAGAATAATATGCTAAGTCTCTAGGCTATGAGTTAACAATTTCCCTGGACGATAGTGGTTCTCACAGCTACCACTGGGCGGTCAATAGTAGATGAACTGCATGTCATTAAATAATGATAATAATTGCATTTATATAGCGCATATCCATGCTCAAGAGCCTGCTCTACGCGCTTTACAACTATCCTTACCCCAGCAGACCCTCTGAAAACACCCAGAAACATTCTCGGCTTCCGCGGAAGCATACAGTGCAAGCTGAGGATTTCATACGCTCAAACACTATCAAACTGACAAGATCGTTCACTGTCCATAGTCGGGTACCCATTCTCACCTGGGTGAAGTGAGGAAAATTTGTGCAAAGTGCCTTTCCCAAGGACACAACATCGGGTCCTTGATGGGATTCGAACCCACGACTTTACGGTTGCGAGTCCGAGAGCCTAACGACTAGGCCACCGAGTTAGAAGTGTTACAAGAGATTGACAAACAGAGTGGCTTATCCCACAGCTGGTGAAAGTAGACACTTATCTTTTTGTTTTATCCTAGTGGTTGTCGAAAGTACTGTTTTTCTAATCTACCGGTCGTTCACGCCCTCTGTGAGTGGTTGGAGGGTGTTTTTGTGACTGTAGTAGCTCTCATCTTTCAGGGGGGGGGGGTTATTATTGTATTTGTGTGCATGTTATTTGTTTTATGTTGTTGTTTTTGTTGGGTTGTTCGTTTGTTTGTTTTTTTTGTTTGGTTTTTTTTTGGGGGGGTGTTGTTGTTTTTTTTGGGGGGTGGGCTGTTGTTTGTTTATTTGC